GGACAATGACTCTTTATGATTAGATTAGATTAGTAAGTGGGGGAGGGAGAAGCCCTAACTGTCTTGGGGTCGCTGCCTTGCAGCGCTAGGCCTGAGTGCCTTCAGGCCAAGTTGTACATGCCCCATGTGATGAGCTTTCATGCATTTTATGTGCTCCCCTGCTAAAAAGCCTTTCCTGATATCCAGCGGGCCATTGAAATCTTTCTTGCATGTCTCGTTTATCTGTGGCTGTACTTAAGTAACTCCAAAAGGAGGAAGACATACATTGATAAAGTACCTGTACATGGCTTTTGCATGTGTGCTCTCCTCCTTGATTCTGCTTGATAGCTGTCCATGGATGACTGTCCCAGAAGTTAGCTTCTGGGGCCTGGCTCTCCTCTGTTTTCTCAGAGAGGTCTTTGCTATGCCTGTCTGAGACCGTACCTCCCAAAACCAGCAGTGAGAATGGTCTCTTTGATCTGCTGCTACTGGAAGGAACATTTCCCCCTCACACACTCCTTTTGGCTTCTCTAGGCATATCCTAGCCTGGCTTTGTTCTCTTTATGTGCGTGTCGCCCAGCTCATATTGTGCTGAACTGGGTGTCGCTGGAGGAGTGAAGATACTGGCCCTGGTTGTCTCGGACATCAGGAACCTGTAAGCCAACATCTCTCTCCTGCTTTGGATGATATTTCTATGCTTGTTGACTCTTTCCTGTCCTTTAATAGAAATTCTGCTCTTCTGTGAGACATCACTGACGTTTCTCAGTATCAACTAAAATTGTATTTCTGTGAATGTGAATTTCTGGAATATACCACACCTCAATTCAGTGGGTGACAGGAAGAGCGAGGCAGGGCGTAACTCTGCACGTGAAACTCTGACTGAACATCCACACTTTCTGTGTCCATCTCACTGTGTGTGCAGATAGCAGCTCAAAGCAGGAGTGTAAAATACGTTCTCGCCCAAGAGAGTTTTGCTACGGTTTTTTTTGTGGAGGCAAGGTTGGGGGCTTGAGATAAGGTGCCATTTTACCACTTAATTAAAGCCCTGCCACCCCGTGTCACTGGCTGTAGCTTATGTAGAGCCTCCATGTAGTGCTTTTTCCTCTGAACTCCACCTGAGTGTTCCCAGTGAGCTAGTGCAGAGGCTCGTCCTCACCAAGGAGCTTGTCAGTCCTTCTACCTGTCTCCAGTCTCCCACCAGACCATCCTATGTCCTAATCTCTTTTCCATGCCAAGCGGGCTGCAGTGAGACTTCATGGTGTTGCAGGTGACCAACTACTCCTGATTTCCGACGTGTCCCATTGTCTGGTCCTCTTATTAGCTGCACTGAGAGCTAGTGAAGGTTAAAATGCTCTTGGAGGGGTCTGAGCATGCATTAACCATGGAAGCTGGAACACTTGAAGCTGGTCGGAATCTAGTAGGAGACGGGGAGGATGATAACAAAAGCCACTCTATTAAACAAGTAGTTGGAGGTTCCTACAAAAACTGCTGCCACCATAATAAATCTAATCCTTTGGGCCTTGGAGGAAATGCCGGCGTAGCCAGGACCCCTGCTATGGTCTTAGTACAGCTGTGCTAGTGGAGGCAGATGCGTTCTTGTTGAGACCTGGCACAGGAAAGTGAGCGTTGCCCCTTCCACAGATGACAAGAGGCTTTTCCAGCTGCCCTGGCACTAGAAGACTTGCCTTGTAGTCGTGATTGACTGAGCCATGACTGTTTTTACTGGGATGAAGCAGGGACTGAATGTGAATAAGCGTGGTCTGGGCTTGCTTGAAGGAAACGGGAACTGTCAGGAAGGATTATATAGCGGTGCCGGTGCCTGCCTGGCCTCGGCAGGCATGAGAAGACCTTTGTCCTGCTGCAACTCTCTTGTTATCGTAAAGGTTTGAAATGCTGTCGCAGTGGAAATTTGAATGAGAAATTTCCCCTCTATCTTGTGCATGGTAACTCCTCTTCCTGCAGGGATGAATCCTCTGACAGCAAGATTTAAGTAGTCTCAATATGTAATGTACTTTTTCAAAAAGTTGCTGCTTGGCCTCCTTAGAGGCCTTGGCGTTTGGCCTATAGACTATGCATTTCCCCAGACTTCCCTCAAGGATAAGGAAACAAGCAAGTTAAGGGGTGTAAATGAAATGGGGAGAGCCGTGCTTTGCACTCTGCCAGTGGAAGCCAGCTGAGTTGTCTTTCCTGGGACCATCAGTCTGAAAGCAGGAGCTTCTCACACGTGAAGAGGGTCAATCTTGGGCTGCTCTCCCCAAACCAGCCTGTGGCTTTCATGCTGAACTGGATTGGGAGGGCATGGATGAGCTCGGTGTGACTCCAGTAAGCCAGGAGCTAAGCCGCTCTGAAGCCCTGTGGACAGAAAGGGCTCCAGGCGCTTTACCTCAGTTCTTCGTGCATGGTTGACTTTGGCCAGGCTCCTTGCAAGTTGCAAATATCTTTCAGAGGGCAAGATTCATGGTAAGCTGTGAATAGGAAAGAGGTGTGCTGATGTACCATGCAATGACCATATATCCTGGCCTGGTCCTTCACTGCAGGCTGAGTTGAAGAAGTGAATTTGGTTTGGTCCTGTCTTGCTTTGGTGAGAGTAATCCTGTGTGTGGTCTTTCCTGAAAGCTGCTGTGCTGCCCTAAGCAAACTTGCATGTGTTTGAGGGCAGATGGTGGAGCTCGGAAATGATCTGCTGTATCCTTGGTCTGGCACACCTCATGGAGATGTATCTGTGTGAGGGTGCAGATGCTTGTATTTACCAGGAACCAGCTGCTTACTGCAAGGGACTTACCCTCAGTTCTCATAAACAGGCCCTTCTTGCTGTCCTGGAGATTGCAATCATCTCCGTGGTGAGAGTTGCACAAACAGAAGGGAGGATAATGACCCTGCAGATTAAAGGGCAAAAGGAGGTTTCCTACTACATGAAGCTTGTGCTGATTGCCCTGGTTCTAGATTCAACATCCCTGGAAAGATAGGCTGCAAACACAGAAAGGCTCTCTGCAAAAATAGGGGGGCCAGGAGGTGCGTTACCCAGCCCTGCAGCGTGGAGAAAAAAGCAGCACCTGTTTGAGGAGCTAAGGTGTGGATTTGCTCATGGATGTGCCCTTTGAGCATATTTGAGAGGCAGTAAGCCCATCTAATAACTACCGAAATCTGCCTTTACCTGGCTCTGCTTACCTGCCTTTGATGCGGTTGAAAGGGCAACAGAGCTGCACTATGTCCTCCTTGTTAGCTTGGAAATATGAAGACCAGCAGCATCCTAATGCCTGACAAACGTGTGCAGAGCCTTAAGCTCGGTGTGCTGGCCTTAAGCTCCCTTTCTTCAGTACCCAAGTACACGTGGGAAGCCTGAACCTCAACAGAGCTCCAACTCCAGATGTGCACAGCTCCTTCTGCTGTTCTAGTTCAGGCCTGATCCTGTTTGTTTTGGAGCAGCTCCTGCCAAGGAGCTTCTTCAGGTCTTTTCCATTATCTAACATTTTAGAGTTAGAGCTCTAGCAGTGAGAGCAAAGGGGTGTAAAATCCAAAATATCCTGCTCTTCCAGCATCTGTGCCCCTTCCGTGTGCTACTGAGGGGGTGTAAAATCCAAAATACCCTGCTCTTCAAGCATCTGTGCCCCTTCCGTGTGCTACTGAGGGACATTTGCAAAGGCATCGTCCTCTGACTGAAAAAAAACCCACCTCATCTCGCTTGATGTTTTTCAGTTTGGTTGGCTTATGGCTCAGCTGGTGGTGAAGGTGCCTAGAGCATCACTCCTGTTCTCACCGGGGACCCTTTTCCTCTCAGCTCCTTGTATTTACATGATGTCTTGATCCCTTGCTAGGACCTTCTACTTGGAGAAGGCCACCAGCCTTCCTTGTATTCCCAGTTTTCAGGCCAGCTGTGTCTGCCTTCTCTGGCTGGACTGGGAGAACTGGCAGGTGATCTTTCCCCTCTACTCAGCCCTGGTGGAGGCCTCACCTGGAGTGCTGTGCCCAGATCTGCGCTCCTCAGTGTGAGAGAAACAGGGACATACTGGAGAGAAAGGCCACAAAGGGCTTGTGTTGGTGGAACTTGTGCCAAGTGCCATGGTTCCAGATTGAATGTCCCATTACTGCAGTGCCAAAGACTGAAGCTGCTAATCCTGTATAACATAAGCGGAGAACTTGGTTGGGGATGTCATAATATGGGCTAATGCAAAAGAGCGTGTAGCTTGTGATGGCAGAGGTGTGAAAAAGCTTGTGTGTAGTTTTGTGAGGGTGTGAATGAAGGTTGTGCCAAAGCTGCCAACCCTGTTGTTTTTGGAAGGGAGCGGGGTTGCAGAAACGTGACCCTTTCTCCGTAGTCTTGGCAAGATGGAGCAGTGCTGCTGGCAATGAAGCTGCGCTCAAGTCAGGCTATCGGCAGATTCCCCTTTGCTGGTGTCCTACAGTGCACGCTTTTGCACATGTTCTCTACAGAGCATGGCAATGCGAGGAGAGCAGTGGGAATGCTGGAAAGACAACTGTTCCCGGCTACCTCGTGGGAGGGTGTAGGAAAGCTGGAGCCAGGCTCCTCTTGGAGATGTGTGGGGTTAGGATGAGAGACAGTAGACAAATGGCCACGAGGGAAATTCTGAGTAGCTGTTAGGAAAAGACTTTGTTGTGAGTGTGGTCAGACACTGGAGCAGAGCCCCAGGGAGGTTGTGAGATACACATCCTTGCAAATAATTCCAAGTTCAGCTGGACAAAGCCCTGAGCAGCTGGAGCTGGCCATGCTTAGAGCAGGACATTGGGCCAGAGGCCTCCAGAAGTCCCTTCCAACCTAATACTCTTCAATGGAGATGCCCAGATAGCGTGGTTCAGTTGTAGCATAAATTACAGCCTGGGACTATACTTGACTCCCTTTTCCTAGGCTGGCGTGATAAGGAGACGTTAAGGAGATGCCTTACTAGTTCTTTGTAGGAAGGCTGGAGATGTTTACAGGGACTGAAGATGTGTGCCCGTCTGGTGCCAGGTGCTGGTTTTTGTAGTATTTGTATTGCGACAGTCTTCCTCTTGCCTTCCTCCAGGTACAGCTACATGATTGACAATGTCATTCTGCTGATCACTGGGACCCTGCACCAGCGTTCGATCTCTGAACTGGTGCCCAAGTGCCATCCTCTGGGAAGTTTTGAGCAGATGGAAGCCGTGAACATTGCCCAGACGCCTGCGGAGCTCTACAATGCAATCCTGGTAGACACTCCCCTGGGTGAGCTGAGCCTTTCAAAATACCTCTCAGCTGTGTGTGCAGCAGATGTCCCTTTCTCCCCCAGTCTAACTAGGTCCAACTAAGTCTAAGTTGTGCTCTGGGAAGACAAAGCGTTGGGTAATGCACAGATGTGGCTGTACTGCCTGTGGTGGCTGGGCTTGAGTTCAGGTTTATGCCTGTCCTATGCCAGTTTTACCTCTGGAGGATGGGCTAGCTCTCTGTACGCTTCAACAAATGTCTAAACCAGCACACTGGTAGTGCAGATTGCTGGGGAATTTGGTTTGTGTGAGCTAGGCCTCAAGCTGTCATGGTAGTAGCTAGATCTGATCTGCTAGATGTGTCCATTTACCAGCTCTTCTGGGAATCGTCACCTGAAATTAGGGAGGAATGAGAAAGTTTGAGAGGTCTTAGCCAATGCGATCTTTTTAATAATTGTCATGGGACACATGGTACATGTGCTTCCTTAGTGAAGGGCTATCAGGTCCTCTGCTGGAATGAGTCACTTAATTTCCAGCGCTTTTAGTTGGACCATTGGGCAATTTCTTGTCAGCAATTTTTGTAGGTAATTATAGAGATCTGCACATGTCCGGTCTTGTTCTGAGGCTGATAAAATTAGCTCTAGATCAAGGAAAGCTCTTTACATACCAAAAAACGCTAACCAGCAACAGCAAAAAAATCTCCAAAAGCCTTTTCAAGCTCATTGTATAGCAGGATCCTGCACTGGGGTATACTGTCTCAGGGCTACAAGCCTTGACCAGGAGGCGCATGACACTAAAACCAAGTGTCTTATGAACAGTCAGACAGACATGTTCTTTAAAGATAAAAGATGTAGGAAGTGGTTCTGGAGAAAATATGGAAGTCTTTTTGCAGTAGTAGGAGAGGTAGTCACAGGAGACTTTCTAGGTTAGCATCTGTGGGCAAAAAAGTAATGAGGTTCGCCTGAGTCAGTGATTAATCATTCTTTTGGGGTTGCTAGAAAGAACAAAACACTTCAAATCATCATATTGTCTTTGATAGAAATAGTTGTTTTTGGAACTGAAAGCGTTTTTGCAAATGCTCTCTGAAATAATGGGGCAAGTGAAGTACTTGTCATGGAAAAATGATTTGCCAGATAGAGCCCAGCAAAGGAGGGAAAACATGTCTCAAGAGGTCTGGGTTGCAAGGTAGGGCAACAATGCTGCAGGAGAACTGAGGCTCTGCATGCAGCTAAGTAGGGATAATGTGTGGGAAGAAAATCCTCCTCATGAGTAAGCAGGTACCTTGCCATTTTGGGAATAAGATAGAACCAAGTATTTCAAAGATATTAGTTCTCAGAGACCGTAAAACTTCCAGCTGTGTACAGAGTGAAGATGCCCCGTTACACTGGCGAGGTGGTTCTGAAGAACGCGGCTGGCAGTTGAGGGTCTTTGCCTCTTGAATTCAGGCACTTGTACGTGAGTGAGCTTTGCCTGCTTCTGCCCTGTCTAGGCTGAGGTCTTCAGACCTTTGCCCTGGCCATGCCCTTGAGGCTGTGTACCATCTAGTGTGGCATTTCTTCAGTAGGAGAACATGGGGAGTAGCTGTGTTGCCTAAACAAGCAGGCATGCAGGCTCCAGTTGTTTAACTTGCATTCTTTCCAGTGACCACACGCAAAGAAACAGCAGCTCTATCTCCTAAAAGTACTTGAGTAGCTACGTGGCTTGGTAGGAATGCCTAACCCCAAATGGCTCTCATAGGTTAGCAGGGCAAAATAGGCCTTGCTGTTAGCCTAATTTGGGATATTGGAGGGCCAAGAACTGAAATAGCTGCGTTCTCATTCCTCTGCTACTCTGAAGTAGCCACTGCTTAGCTATCTAGGCTAGCCAGCGAGTCCTGCAGTGAAAACCAGTCCTGGCACACTCTGTTTTCATTTTTGCCAGCCGTAGGGAGCAGTGCTCCTCCAGCTACGTGGCATTGGTCTCTGATGCTGTTGCAAAGAAACCTCGGGGGGGGGTTAACCCCTGTTCAGGACTCTCTAGACCCACAGTGCAGCTGCTGTCCATGCCAGGAAGCTCGTGCTATAAAAGTAGTGCACGCTGGAGGTGCGAGCCTGCATCATACCCGGTTTGTCGCACAAAGCAGAGCACCAGTCAGTTCTCGGCTTGAGTGCAGTGTCCTTTACCCACAGCTGGACTGCGTAAGCTGAGAAAGATCATATTTCTCTTTGTAGCAAATTCAGCAAAATTGGTTGCTGAGTGAGAGTTGAAGAAGTCATAAAAGTCCTGTCAATGGGTTTTATTGTGCTCTTGCTAACAAGTGAGTGGTACAACAGCCTTATGTTACGCTAGATGTACAAGACTCCTCTTTATCTGCAGCTTGCAGTACCCTGTGCTAGGTCTGAAATCTGTTCTTTCGGTGGCAACAACTTCTCAAACTCCCTCCCAGCCATACTCTGGCAAAGTATGTAAGGCTGAGCTTCCTGTTACTTACCTCCAGCTGGAGAAATAAAAGGCCTCGGAAGAAGTGGAAAATGGGACTGATAGACTTGACCGGGGGAACAGCTCTTGACTCCAACCATGGAGTGTCATGGGTTGTAGGAGCTGTGGCATCCCCATGCCTCCTTAATCCAACTAAGATATAGGAGGATGAGGGAGAAGCACAGCACCAGCTTCCTCAGGACTCACTGAGTCTGTGAGCTGCTGTCTGGCAGATGCTTAAGCGCTACTGCCATGCTGTAGCAGGCAATTTGGAAGCTGTCTTGTCACCTCTGAGTGCCTGCATCTGGGAACAGTTTGGGTTTTGCTTTTTTTTAAATACAGGGTGCTCTGGCACTGATGCTGGGGGCTAGAGCTGAGAATTTCTGCTGAGAATAGGCTGGTGTGAGAGCCCCAAAAATGATTGTGGCCTGGGGAACCATGGTGGAGCCTGAGGTTTTGAGTCATGGCAATTTGGTGGCTGCTGAAGATAAGGGCCAGGCCTAGGAGGGACAAGCTCAACGTAGGCTGTGCTTCTGCCTGGTATTGTTGAGAACTCTGGAAAGTGCTGGGCATGGGTCTGGCTAGGGCAATGCTAACTCTGTCTGTGGCTCTGTTTCAGCTGCTTTCTTCCAAGACTGCATATCTGAACAGGACCTGGATGAAATGAACATCGAAATAATTCGAAACACACTGTATAAGGTAAATAAGATCTCTTTAAACTTCCCTATTTCCTCCTAGCATGACTACAGCTCTGTCTTGGGTCAGGAGGTCCAGCTTAGGCTGCCTTTCTTCAACCAAAGGGGAAGAGGGTATTTTCCTCTTAGAGTAGATTTAAAAATAAATTTGCTTTCTCTTTTCTTTTCTTCCCTGGAGTGGTGATAGAGTGAACATAACCAAGAACTAGTTGCATCTGCTGGAAAGTAAGGATAGTGCTCTTGGAGGGGCCTGACATCTGATCACCCAGCTCTGCAGAGTCAGGGCACCAAAGCTAGGCAGAGTGACTTTTTTTTGGAGCTGTCAGGCTGTCAAGAGTCTGTGCAAGAGATTTTTTAGAGGTTCTGCCTTTGAATAAATTTGCTCAGGCCCCAGGCAGGCAGGAGAAGGCTGCTTCTTAACCACACGAGTTTAGATGTGTAGTTAACTGCGTTCAAAGCGCTGAAGTGGCTTGATCTTAAACTTGGTTGAAGGACTCCCATGGGCTTGGCTCTCTGTCTTGACCCCTTTCAGAAGAGCCTCCAACAGTCTGCTCAAGCCTTCAGTGGCTGTGGTTGAGGTTAGATGCTCTTGGTAGAGCAGCGTAAAAGGTACAGCCGGGATGGAGGAGTCCTGCAGGCACAGAGATGTGGAGGGGCTAAGGATCTCCTTGTCCTGAGCCTGCGCAGGGAGCTTTTGTCTCCTCTGCAGGCCTTGTCTGGTTTTAGCTGGCAGTATCAAAGCATGTGTTTATGTGCAGGCTGTGGCTATCGCTCCATCTCAACTCTCTGGATTAAGGGTGGGATGCAGATTGTATCTGCCGACCTTGTTTTGGCTGGTCGCAGCCAGCCTGCAGTCAGTGTGACCTCTGCTTCCCAAGGAAGCCATGGCCTGTTTGGAGAGGCAGAGAACAGATCAGGCGTGAAGGGAAGAAGGCAAAGGGAGGGGAGAAGGAGCTGCATGTCGGCAGTCATGCCCAGCTGCGTGTGGCCTCTGGCATGTACTGATCTTTTGCTGTAATAGGGGGAGGTAAGCTTGTACGCGTAAATACCTGCACCCTTGCAGGGTGCAGACCTCTGTGTGGAGATGAGGCAGGTGGGGGAAGGCAGGGAACAGCGTGAGCGCAGGGCAAACAGGTTGGAGGGGGTGTGTGTGTGTCTCCTTGGGTCCCAGCTGCCACATCCTTTCCCGTCTCCTTTTTGAGGCCTGATACTTCTTTACATTCTGCTCTTCCTACCCCCAAATTGAAGCGTAGATGCCTGGTGTCCCTTGGCTTGTTCTGGGACTGCTTCTTGCTAAAGAGCAGCCCCCGGGGAACATAGGGGCTCCATCAGTAACGAATCATGGTGACACAAGGGTGAAAGAGGTAACTGCTGCTTACAGACTCTCACTTGAATCCACCTCTCTCCCCAGGGACTGGAAAATGTATAATGCAATGCAAATGGTCTTCATAGGCAAATGGGGAAAATAAAATCAGGTCTGGAATCTGTGCAGAACTGCTCTGAGGAACAGAGCAGGCAGGTGCCTGGGATGGCTGCCTGCGTCCGGGAGGACTTGGCATGGGAAGGAGAAGTGCTACCTCCCAGACCTACTGGAGGTTTTGTGAAGGAATCTGCGAGCATGTAGACAGAAGGTTTGAGCAGGATTCATAGGAGGAAAGCAATTACAAAGGTTTCTTGTTAGCAATGACAAATGAGAAGATTCTTGAATGGAAATATGGTTAAGATGGGGAGCAGAGTTTAAAAGTAAGCAGTCAGCTCTTAGTGTAGAGGGCGGTCAGCAGTGGAGTCCTGCAGCGGAGGCATGCTGGCATTATCTTCAGTGCTTACTCCTATTTTTCCACATCTTTAATGGATATGTTGAAGTGAAGCTGCCTGACTGTTGGCCTTTGCTGGCGACCTTCTTGTAGGAAGCAGCTGAAGGAGCTTTGTGACTGGACAATAAAATATGGCAGGCAAATCAACACGGATAAATGTGGAGTGATGTATGGGAGAGGCAAAGAGGTAATCCTAACTCTGCGTGTACAGTGAGGGTCTCCTTGTTCCTTTCTACTACTAAATGAAATCTTGGGTTATTGATTGACCTAAGGAAGTGTCTCTCTACAAGGCAGACTGTTCCTAACAGTAGAAAAGAAGAGAACTGCACAAATATCACTGTGCTGCTGCATACATCTGTAGCGCTTTTGTCTCATTCCTCTTCTCTCTCATCTCTGAATGTGAACAGCAGAACAGGGGAAGTTGCTAAGGAGGACAAGTTTAAAGGTTTGGGTACAATGACTTCTGTATGGGAAACTACAAAAATGGTTGGGATTCCTCACCTGGAAGAGGAGTGAATCAGAGCTGTGGTGGTAACTGCAGATAGTGTTGGAAAAGTCAATGTGGATGGACAGGCCACAGTTCCCCCTTCAGGCTGGAGGTGACAGACAAATGAGGCTAGCAGGATAAATGAGTGGGTTCATGGAAGTCAAATTCCATGAAGGATTATTAAATGCAAAGAGACTACTATTTCTGGGGTAAGGGTTTCAGGACACTGGAGAACTTCTGTAGATTGCTCTCATCTGTGGAGGGGTCCATAGGGGAGGGTACCCAGTGCGGCTGTTTTACAGTCTGTGTTTCCATGGTGTCTGTGATACTGGATCCTCATTCAGTGCTGGGTATTTAAGTTCACCTATTTTTGCTCCTAATGCCTTAAGTTTGTGCGTGACCTCTGAGAAGGGCAGGGGTAGTGGCTGAACCTCTTACCCAGGTTCCCTCTTCTGTCAGCCTCAAGCAAAGTCCATTATCCGTGTCCTTGTTCCTGTGGTAACTCTGAAGACTGATGCTCTGTGCTCTTCTGCACTTGAGCAGTGGCAAGTGCTGGAGATGATGTTTCTTTGATGTGTGATGCTCACCCAGCAGTCTCCTTTTGTACTGTGTGGTAACAAATATTTACAGAACACAGAAATCCAGGTGCTTTCCTAGTGCAGAGGCTGAGGGTATCCAACACGTGCATTCTTGGTCCATCTTCAATCCTGGAGTTGTTGTGACAAAGCAGAGATTTGTGATGTCTCAGCATCATTTTATTCCATCCCTTTTAAGTGATTCTGGTTGCAGCTCTCTGTCAGGGAGGTATTTTATCACATGATGGTTTCTTCTGAGAAAGTTTTTTGCTGAACAGCACTTTTAACCATGCACTGCCTTCATGGGCTCCCCCTGGGAGATACAGTCATCTTCCAGCTGGATTACGGTACATCTCCACAAAGGATTACGTTTCCTGGAGGCAGCGTAGCTGTGCCTAGCCTTGTATGTTTTCTGCAGTGCTCCAGTTGGGATGGAGACCAAGCGGCTGCAGTGTGAAAAGAGAATTACAGAGAATGGCTAGTTTGCTTTACAGATGTCCTGTCTCATCTCTTGACTCTGCTTACACAGCGGTACTTTCTGAGCGTAGGTCTTGCAGCTATAGTTGTGTGGCTTGGCATGTTTGTGGAGGCCAGAGCGAGGTCAGGAAACCGTGTGAGACTTCAGTAAATGCTTTGGAGTTAGATGACTCAAAGGAGCAAAATAGGCTTTAACCTTGCTGCCTGGGGATCTTGCCTGAAGTAAGCTCATGCAGTCACTCGAACAAACCCAACCACAGCCCTCCATGTCTCCAGATCCTGGGGGAAGCACTGACCCTCGTATGGGCTTGGCTCACATGGGGTGAGAGTGCCCGTGCTGTGTTATAAAGCGTTTGGGAGCATCCCTGCTTGCTGTTTGTCCCCTACTGAATGGCTCTCTGGGGCAGTAGATGAAGCAGTGCAGAAGAGTGCTCATCTGCCCTCTCTCTTCCAGGCTTACCTGGAGTCCTTCTACAAGTTCTGCAAGGTGCTGGGAGGTACCACGGCAGATGCCATGTGCCCCATCCTAGAGGTAGGTCTGGAAACCCGCGTAGCTGGATGGTATTGCTGTGATATTCATTGCTCTGTGCTCAGGCCCAGCTTGCCTGCCAGCGTTAAGGATACTAAAGATTCTTCAGCATCCCCATGCACACTCTGCCTGCTCACTGGGAGACCTAGGAAAACACTGCCTGCACATGACTTTGGACAGATTTGGTTCTTCGGTCCTGATCTTGCCAGGTGCTGACACATCTGTTGCCTTCGTGGCAACATCTTCATCCTCTCACATGGATAACGAGCAGGAGAAAAACCAGAGCTGTTCAGTGCACGGCCCGTCTCCATGCCAAGGCTAGCTGTGGGATGTGCAGGGCTCAGGGGCAAGGAGAGAGACTCCTTGACCTGGGCAGGGTTCTGCTCAGTGATTTGGCTTGTGCCTGGGGTGGGAATTTCCTCACCTGACTGCTCCCCAGGCATCAGCTGGGAGCATGCATATGGGCATACTGGGAGCCTGCACATGTAGCCTGCCCTGGCTGGGCACTGGATAGCTGTATGTGTCCCAGGCAGCTTGCTCATGCTGCTCTCTGATGTGGCTCTGTTCAGAGCAGCATTGGTATCTGCTGGCCTCTGGCAAAGATGCTGCATCCCAAAGTGAACTGCTCTTTTCCCGCAGTTTGAAGCTGACCGGAGGGCCTTCATTATCACCATTAACTCATTTGGTACCGAGCTGTCCAAGGAGGACCGAGCAAAGCTGTTCCCGCACTGTGGCAAGCTCTACCCTGAGGGCCTGGCTCAGCTGGCCAGAGCAGATGACTACGAACAAGTCAAAAATGTTGCAGACTACTACCCTGTGAGTGCTTTGGGGTGAGGGCTGTGGGGACTAGTGCAAGGACCTGCTCTGGATCAGAGCTTCTCAGGGATCTGGGGAAACTTGTGGATTCACAGCCTGGGGAGGGGGATGTCTATCTTCTGCTGTTACTGTTGGTCCTGTGCTCTGCTTGACCAAGATGGAGTTGGCTTGCCTGTGATGCCGTTGGCTTGTTAGTTGTGGCTGCCGTAGCAGAGGTGATAGGGAGACCAGGCATGCTTTATGCGCCTTGTCCCAGGGTGTGGGGACTGCCCTCACCACCAAACCCTTGTGTTGGTGTGGCAGCAATGGCAGTCTCTCTTTGGCTGGTTGGGGATGGAAACGTGTCTTCAGCGAGAAGTGGTGTGCCACATCTCCAGCCCTAGCGGGTCACTCCGAGCTCTGGTTCAGTTGCAGGGGAGATGCTGACCTGGGAGGACATGCTTGGATGTGTCTGAGTTCCTTAAGCTTCTCTTGTGCATGGCGGGGGGCCTTTTTGGAGTCAGAGAGCTCAGTGTCCCCTTGCTGAAGCAGCCAGAGCATGTGCCAGTGTTTGTGGGCACAGGGGCCTGGCCCAAACACTCTGGTCTGTACACGGAGGGATCTGTACCCGATGCATCCTCCTTGCAGACTCAAAGTGATGATTCGGCTTTGAGCTCTGCACGTTTCAGAGAGGGGTAGGATCTCTGGCTGGACAAGCTCACAAATGAAATAAAGGCTTTCTCTGCCTTACAGGGGATTGCCTTCAGCCGGTGTGTGTGCAGTGCAGCCTCAGCAGCATCCCCTTGCCAATGCTTATGTGTACACAGGGCAGACTCTTGGCTTCTGTGTCCTCTGCTGACCTGGCATGGTGGCTGGGGTGTCTGTTTGACGTACAGGACCCAGGAACGCTGCTGAGCTTGGAGGGGTTTGGGTATATCCTCTTGTAATGTCTTCCTGCAGGAGTACAAGCTGCTATTTGAAGGGGCTGGCAGCAACCCTGGAGACAAGACCCTTGAAGACAGGTTCTTTGAGCATGAGGTGAGTGAGCCCTGAGACACTTGCAAAGCTCAGGGTAGCAGCAAGCTTGTCTGCTGCCCTGTCAGCAGTGCTGTGGATGAACAGATTTTGGGGAGAGGAAAAGGATGCTAGCCTTCTGCTCCAGCGAGGGAATAGGGACCCGGCATGGTGCTCAGTCCGTGTTCTCACCCAGACAGATTAGAGCAGTGTGGGAGGCAAGTTTGGGGCTGCTGGTGGATATTTGGTCCATCGACAGCAAAACCAGAGTGTAGTTATGTGGGACAAGAGGATTTTCAAATGTCAGAGCCTGTCCTGAGCCATGTGCTGTAGGTCAGAGCTGCTCCGAGGACCTAGAGAGGTGCAGAGCAGGATACCTGTGCTGAGCCCCCCAGCCTGCCGGGGAAGTCATGGGACCTCCCAAGCTGCTCCACGCTTACCTTGACCAGCTCCTCCCATCTGAGGTGGACAAGTGACATGTCCTCCTCTGGGCTTTCCCCAGGTGAAGCTGAACAAGCTGGCCTTCCTCAACCAGTTCCACTTTGGAGTCTTCTACGCCTTCGTGAAGCTGAAGGAGCAGGAGTGCCGCAACATTGTGTGGATCGCAGAGTGCATTGCCCAGCGGCACAGGACCAAGATTGACAACTACATTCCCATCTTCTAACCCTGCTCTGCTCCTGTCCGACCCTCCTGCCCCTGGAGTCCGGAGGGACCCCTGTCTAACTCCCTGAGTTATCCCTTGCCCAGACTCCAGGGATGTCCCATCTGTGGAACTGGCTCAGATGAGGAAACTATACAGTTGCTAGTTAAATTATTCACAAGCTGAAGTTTGAGTTGTGTGTGCTGCGAGGGGTCCGGAGGGACCAGTGGCACAGGCTTGGCCCTGTGTAGCAGGAGAGACACCTCCTGTTGTGTATCTCATAGTCCCCGTGTTACTGTACTAATCTGCTGTATGCGCTTACGCTCGTAGAGCAAGCACCAGCCGGGGCGTTGCTGCCTCCAAGGGGTTCCCACCGCCGCAGAGGAACGCATCACGTCTGCCGTGGCTGGGGGTCCCTCTCTGTCAGTGCTCTGCACGCCTCCTAGTCGGTGTTGTTCCTGTGAGATTTAGTTCAAGTGTCATTTGTAGCGTAGCCCATGCTGCCGTGCAATCCCTGCATCCCTTGTAGCTAACCCTGACCTGGGAGAGACCGAGCAGCCCTGGCCAGGACTGGAACGGAGCCTGTGGAAGCGTGAGGGCAGAGCCAGAGCGCTTGTGGAGCACACTCCTCCCCGCTCCGGCAGCATTTGCACTAGCGCAGCCTCGACGTGTCCTCAGAAGCAGCTCTCATCCGTCTCCCTCCTGCCCTGCAGCTTGAAAGGGCTCCGTAAGCTAGCTGAGCTCCTTCCTCTCCCGTGAGGACCCACGGCTTGGAGTTTGTCACAACTGTGCAAGAGTCGGGGCTCCTTTTGGCTCTGCGGATGGTGCTGGACCCCTGCACCACCCCAGGGCAGACATCCAGGCTGGCGCAGCCTCCTCCCCTGCGCAGGGTGTCTGGGCTGGTCCTGCCGTGGAGCCGTACGGGCACAGCTGGTCCTTGGGCAGAGCAGCTCTTGGGTCTGGCTCCGCTTGGTCACCCTGCTGAGTGCGGAGGGCAGCTGTTGGCAGAATGTCCCACACCCTGTCCAGGCCCTGCCCGTCTGTGGTTAGGGGGTGGGAGCCAAGCCCTGGGCATGGCATGGCAGCCCTGTTCCTTGCTGCTCTGTGTCCCGGCTAGCTCCCACTTGCACTCGAGGTCTGGGAGATGCCCTGTGGTGGTGTGGCAGCGGAGAAGCCTCGCTGCTGGTGGGAGGGATGGATGGAGAGCGGCTCTGTCCCAGCTTGTGCTGTGGTCACCTCTGCAGTGTTTGTTATCCCGTGACCCCCTCCTCTCTACACTAATAAATATCTGCCTACTGCACTGTGCTCTCCCTGCTTACTTGGGTGCCTGCTCCCACATCCCCAAGAGGAGCCTGCGTCAGCCACGGGGCCTCTTACCTGGGGAATTTGGTATTTGTAGTAGTGGAGCCTGGTGTGACTCCTGCATGACTTGGGGCACTTGCTTCTACCGCAGACAGGGCAGTCGTGCCACCTGTTGGGGCATTTGCGCTCCAGCCCAAGCTGCGTGTGATGTCTGGTCTGTGGGTGCAGCTGGGTGCTGGGCTGGTGGGTGCGCAGGAGCTGTACCCCTCGCTGCTCCTGCAGCCCTATGGGAGTGAGCCATGCGGTTAGGGAGCTGCGTGACAGATCCCCTGGCTTTGTTAGCTTGTCCCCCTGCGCCTCCTGCGTGGGGCTGGCTGTGTGTGGCACCGTCACCCCTTCCAGCCTTCCCCCAGCAGGGCCATGGAGTCAGAGCAAAGCAAAAGGAAGCCATGGGGAACAGGGGGAGGGAGTGCAAGCTCTTCCCCTGCTGCCCAGGGGCTGCTTCTCTGCCCATGTACAACCCTTTTCCGGGGCTGCCCCACGCAAGGTTCCTGCCACGGTGCTCAGTGCAGTGACCCAGCTCGGCTCTGCCCGCAGGCAGGACATCCCTGACCAAGCATCACAGCGCTGCACCGCGGAAGGAGACTGCCAGAGCCCAGTGGCATATCAAGAACAGATTTATTTAAAAAGTGACAGTCACGTAGTTCATCTTATGAAGAGCTCTGCAGCCTGGCCTGGGCCCCTGCGCTCGCCAGGAGCACATGGAGTGTGTAATGAACGGCAGGGAGGCAGGGGCTGGCACGGCAGCAG